TGTTAAAGATGAGTTTTTATAGTTTGTGTTCAATTCCTTATATGATTGTAATATTTCAAACTACTGCAGATGAAATGCCTTAGCGACATATTTGAAATATGATCAAAATCCATTTCCGTATGAAATGGAAATAAACATAATAATATGTGGCACGACGTGGCGTGAAACACGGATACCAGTACCAACCACGAGGGTACGAACAAACGTTGTCGATATCAATGCTGCTATAAATAGTATATCAAACACTCTGGCGGTCACTCGTAGACTATTCGGCGACGCATAAATTGAAATCGACGTTCGATACGACATGCCATGCCACGAAGAGTTATTCTCATTTTTATGAGTGTTATTACACTCTAGTTTATAGTCCATCATTTTTGAAAACACACAAATGTGACGCAATAACAGTTAAATCACGTGGAATGAGCGCTAATAATGGTTGTAGTACAATCGATAAAAAAAAACCTGAATCAGTGATTTGACCATAAGATTTCTACAATTGAGTCGATATACTGTAGATTTGAATGAAAAAAAAAAATTCAAAATAAAGAAACTATCATGTTGTTTTTGTGGTAACTAAGATCACTGCATTTATCCAATAATACTGCATTTAGGAGAACTTATAATTAGATGTGTTACTATTTTACTAACTAGTAACTAACTTAATATTTTTTTATTGAATTAGTTTTAACATTAGGTACTTATTCACCTCCATATGTTCAATCAGGATTCTTACGATCTATGATATTACTATCGTATCAAATATGCCTTGGACTTACGGAAAACAGTGCAAGTGTGCAACAGTCTCTGACCACCGATTTGATTTTAACGGTACCACCATACTATAAATTTAATGACAAACAATYACAATTTTAGTGTCAATTAATAATTAAGGTGCGATACATCATGAAATTCCTACATTGGCGTCTCGGATTGTCATCATTGGCATCGAGATGTGGCCAATCAATGTTAATTTCAGTCATCTCGTCATACGGAACAATATCGTTATAATTTATCTCAAATAGTCACTGACACAAATAAATAAAGAATAATAATATATTGGATTTAGTTTTCATCATATCCTCGTAATATTATATGTATATTATAAAATATTAAGTTTTGGTTAGGTATTATATGAACTTTAACAGATGAATTTATAATATTATTATACTGTTAAACATATGTTTTAAAAACTGCATAATATATTACAGRTTATTATGAAAAACATGGTAAAAATGTTCGAATTTCAATTACCTTATCAATTATCATTAATAAATTTAAATCATCCCATAAAAAGTGGATATTATAATAATATTATGGATATATTTTAATAAAATATATTCATCTTGAATACATGTCCTTCTTATCTAATAAAACCTGTTTTTTATCTTTAAATTTGCATATTATTGATTACTGTACCTAAATATATTTTATATTTTCGATGCATTGCAAACACTATATTCTTAAATATTTTATTGTTGTACTAACAATTTTCTTAACTATATGCTAGTTGTGTTTATCGCAACAAAGGCTGTAGGTATTAAAAATGCACGCATGAGAGTATAATTACCTATATATGAAGTAGACCTGACCTCATAAACCTATAGTGTGTATTCTAATTCTGAATTCGTTATTTATTTTAGACACCTACTTGTATATATCATCTGGGTATTCAGTATATTCTTAAAATACATACAGGGTAATTTATATAATAATATGTTATATTTATGTTTAAGACGCCCGTAATATCTACGCAAAAATTACAGTTTTCCTTTATCAATAATCTATACACCTAAATAATTGTTGTTGTATACTCGTATAGTCGATTGGTGTTCGTGCGTTCTCATTTACAATGTGGATAAGGCCTGTAACCAAAAATACCATAATAAAAATTAAAAAAAACGTGCCATGTGAAATAGCTTATAAGGTAGCAGTTGGTATAGAAACTCGGACAACATTATCATCCTACATTGCGTACTTTCGTGGTGGTAATGCATATTTTTTTTTATTTGTCACGTGTTTAAATTAAAAATATAAATATTAAGTAGGTACCAATACTAATAGATACTATAGACTCACGATCGACTACGGATTGGGTGATGAACTGATGATGAGATTTGATATTAATAATTCATGATTATCATAAATAATGATGATAAGTACATTTTTAGAGATGTATTTATAAGGAGAAGGGTTGTCAGGAAGACAATTTCATCGGATGACTCTTTTGCACATGTTCATAATATCATATGAGTAGGTATATTGTACTTACGTTTATAGCTATAATAGTAATAAATACTAAAATTTTAATACAATACAAAATAATTATACATAATTTTACTAATTATTATAATGTCTCTCCTTGTTATCTTTCTAATCATTAAGATTTGTCGTACAAAAAAATACTGTACACTATWAAATTAAAACTGTCCATTATGATCCAATACAAAATACAAAAATAAAACCTCTGAATAATAAAAGTCACAAGGTTATTTTCCATGTGCGACGTGCCACGTGCTTCTTTCTTAACGCACCATTATTTACTATAGTAATTCTCGGGAACCGGGTGGTGTATTAAATTTTATTGAACTTGAAATTATAAAGCTCGCAAACATATAACTACAAATGTATACGACTCTTTCTCTGAGATATCATCAAGCTGTGTGCACTAATAGCATTAATACTTGATTATTGTGACKACTGCATGACGTAGTCTAAAACTTCATGCATTATTTTGAATCAAATCGTACGGTGGATATCGTGTAAATTAAACCCAAAATCTATCTTCTCTGCATTGTGATTCCCACATAAAAATATGATAAGTAAAYAGTCAATATAAGTAAATACTTAGTATTTACAATCAACAAAAATAAGTATATACATTCAATTGTTATGGTATACAAACAAGCAATAGTTCAATATTCTATATTAATTTACCTTCCTGCCTAATAATTTTWAACACACAATACTTATATGTGATGTAATTTTGGGCATCATGATTACTATTTCTATTCGTTTAAAATAGACTGCAGTTTTTTTCATGTATTATGTATATATGAGAAATYTGTATGTATTTTATTTTTGAATTAATATATTGCGGAGGTAAATATGTTTACGACGTATGTATTATACCTACATTATAACTAATATATTTTGTTGCTATCAATCGAAATTTCCTGTGAAATTTAAAAATATAATATAAAATTATATATATAATTATATAATTTAAAATACACCACATTGATCCCTTGACCCTTTCCCCCACCACTATTCCTAAATAAGTATTAGACAGTAGATTAGTGGAAATGCATTATAATTTATAATATTAAGCCACAGCTATAAACAATTTAAATTTAATAATTTTAGACTAAAAAGTAAAGTATACTTTGAATATTTTCTATATTTTTATTTTAACGTCAAACGACAGTGCCACCATCCAAAAAAAAAACACTATTGCTCCCCTCCAGATCGTTCCTAACACTATASCACGTCATTGAGTWGGTCACTACTCACTGTAATTAATATATTAAGTTTAAATTCAATGACAAACTAAACTTTAAACTGCAATAATAAGAACAATTTATTGGMTATCTAAGATTTTTGATTTAATTTTCAAGTTTATCTACGGAGCTTAAAATATTGTGAGTATTTTACTAATTATTGTCCACTGACTAGTACCTATTCTTAGTTTTTATCCTTCATTAAGGGGATTCGATCCCGYTATTTTCTGTCTTTGTCTAAAATACACGTAACATATAGCATTGTTATASCTATTTTCTTTACCAAGTTRTTTAAACTTCTCCAAAAGTTGATGTATAACAATTTTATAATTATTACTTTTTTTTAATATAAGGTTTTTAGGAATTTGAGAGATAATATCAAAAATWTGGGAAAGTCAATCTCAAGTATAGACTACRAATAATTAAAATCTGTTTTTAGAATTCTTATAACTTMATAGATAAATCGGCAGGTTTGGCAAAGAACACRCATACAATTCTATGTCACGYGTGTTTTAGACAAAGATATTGCTAAATAACGTCAATAACGACATCGAATCCCCTTAAAATTCTGTGTTAAAAAATCCTTTGATATCGGTGTAATTCTGTAAAAAAATTATTACGATAAATTATTTATATTAACCGATTTATGATGAAAAATAGATCATTACCATTGATTAAATATACATACATATATATTGTATATTTAATCAATGTCATTATATTAAATAATAATATAGGTATTATTAATTATTATAGCAACACCGGGCTTCTTTATTAATATTAATGTCAAAGTGCCTACACCTGTTTTTCTGACTTACAGGAAAAACTCTCACGCCTCGTTGAGTGATCAGATTTCGATTATTTTTATTTTTTTATTAGAAAGATGAAGACTTCTCACGAGGWGCGTTCGACTTGGATTTTCAAAATTCTGTTTCTAAACTATATAATACGATTTTGTATATGACCATATTTCACAAGCTTTTGTTATTGTTATTAGTATAATAACTTATTACCTATATTTTATTTTAAGTAATGAAATTAAACGAAAAAAAAAACAAATGATTAAAATCAGACCACTCTTCAACGCGTGAGAGTTTTTCTCGTAAAGCTTGTTTTGAGTAAAAAGTGATTTTTAAAAATCACGTTTTTCATTTTTGGTAGGCGACGCCGTAGACACATAATATTATGCGTTGTGTACGTAGATAGCCCAAAACTCGCATAAAATTATACCCATTCTAATTATTATTACGAAGTAGGTCATACGATATACGAATGGCGAGGGAATTGCATGTTATCTAAATATTGCCCCTTAATAAMGACACACAATCAAGCCCCTTAATAAGACGTCCTGAATCTTGGACGTTGATGGTAGCGGCAACCACCGTTTTGTCATCTTACGGTGATGTTGGCAACACTCCACTCGCTGATGCCCTTCAAAATAAATTGTTCTGTTGATAATATGATATCATATCGCTATCATATGATAAGTCGTTCGCAGACTGCAGAACGCGTATTTACTATTATTTTCCATCACGATTCACGAGTGTATATTTTTCTTTAATCGTGATTTCTGTAGTTGATCAAGGTGAATATTAGTTATTATAATAATATACAAATATCAGTCTACCGCTTATCGTTCGAAACGCATAACATATGTTCGTGTTATCACGACCGGATTCGTATTTTCAGTTTTGTGAGTAGCGAAAACTAGAAATAAACGTCGAAAACTTAATCGTTTTCTTCTTGGCCGGGTCTCCTGTCTCCCAATCATCGTACCATCGATACTTGATTGCATAGTCGTGATCTCCGCGATCGTCTGTTACCCACACCAACTAAACCATCAGCCGTCATGTCGCTATTCAGGTATTCGTATTACGATACACCGGACGGTAAGGACCTCATAAAAAAACTATTCTACACCAACAAACAAGTGTCCATCATTGGGTTCGGGCTGGCTACATCAGAAATCATCCTGGTCAGCAAACCATTCGGATATCTGAATACCATTTACAGGTAATAATTATTATGTTCGGAAGTTGTAACACATTCGTTTTAGCTTACCAAAGTGTATTTTAAAACTGTACAACCATTGGTTTTCAGATACGGACAGTTGATGGGACCAATGTTTGCTGCCACATCGACGTTCTGCTTGGTGACGCACTTATCCACTAACATACGTGGTAAAGATGACATGGTGAACTATGCCATTGGCGGTTTCTCCACTGGCATTGTGACGGGTATAATCTTAAATCAAAAAATGATCGGTACTTGGATGGCAGTTGTGTTAGCGTGCATTGGTGCAGCCAAGAAGCATTCAAAGCTCAACAATTACGAATTCTACCCCACTTATCCTAAAATTCGTAAACCCATACACGGAGATTTCAGAACACCGTACAATAATTGGAGCTTATATGAAATGCGACCAAAAGGATGGATAGCTGCTGAAGAACGACAGGAATAAGTAAAGATTTACCAACAGCAGTTCATAATATTGAAATAATTATGTGAGTGTACAATTTATTTAGTAATAATATATTACGCATAATAATATGTTTTGTTTGTTATATAGTATTTGATTTGAATTACATTTACATATTATTAATAAAACATATTTTGTTTTCATTACATTAGACATTTTTTTTTTTTTAATAGTTGTATTAATGATACTTATGTAAAAATAAAAATTTGTAAGATTATTTAATAAAAATAAAAATTTTAAAAATACAACACCATCATTTATTTAAATTTTATCTTTGATTTCTTGAGGTTTGCTTTAAAAATGTATCTAAATATTTTTAAGCTCATCTATCATGGATGTTAAATTAAAATGGACTTAATATAAAATGGTTTAAAAATTATCTCTAATTTTTGTTCATTTTTGAATGGACCTTATATCTTATAATTTGGTTACTTAAATATTTATTACTTTGGTTAATTCTCATAGTGAGAGTTCTGAGATATTTTAAGTAATGTAAAAGGTCTGAGTGGTTCTCTACCAAAAATTTTTCAATGGATGAAAGTGATCCATACTTAATTTCATGTGCCAAACACATATTCTTCATACTTACCTAATTATTATTATTTTTATCATAATATAAATTATGAAATATCACAAAATCATTATTTGTTAATAATTTATCAATAATATATTCTAAATTTAATATAGATACTTAATAAATTATTTGAAACGCACCAATGCTGGAGGGGTCTGAGCATCCCCCTGGTTTTGCTACTGGTTATATATATCATCAATTTTTTAAAATAAAATACTGATTATTACTTAAATATGAGTAAAATAATATTTTTACTAATTAATAAATTTTGGTCAGTGGCAGTCATAATAATACTTGAAATATTGACAGAGTAGGTCAAATAATTTATAAGTATCCTTCCTAAAAATCTTAAAATCTGTGCTCATTAAAAAAATTATTACTGTGTTTAAACATTTTATATCTATCTACTTTTAATCCTCGATATAAAAATATGTCATATATTATACATCTTGGCTACAAAATATTAACAACTAGGTAATATTTTTTAAATCATTGTCAAAACCAACTATTTAAATTACAGTTCAATAGTATTTTATTTTATTCAAATTACTTTTTAAGAAATTTTAAACAATAACAAATATCTACCAACAAAATAATACTTTAATTATTAAATTCCTATTTAAAATTTAAATTTTGCAATGTAGTTCATTACAGATTTATTAATTAAATTAATATAGTCATCTTTAGAAGGTTCAAAGTGTAAAGACAATTATTATTTATTATAATATTAATTTATGGATACAATATTTTATACTTTTTAAATAGGTACCCTCTGCATTATAAATACTTATGTTTAACTATATAATGTTTAATGAATCTACTAGCTGTATGGTTATGGGTTCTGATATTTTTAAAGAGCACTGTGGTCACACACTGAAATAGATGAGATTGGATGTTTTGTTGCTCAATTTAAGTTCATGATAGCTTAATTTTATACTATCAATAGTCATGGATCCTTGGCCAGTGAATTAACATGTATTTGCCYATTCCGACRTYAAAATCAATAATAACTGTACTTTAAGCCAAGTTTTATAATTCTGTAATTTGATTTTTCTAGCAACCTTTTTTTTTTTTTTTTATCAACTATTATTATAATAATTTTATTGAATAATTTTTTTTTTACTTTTTCTCTAATATTCATAAACATATATCAAAATTTTTCAATATCAATTGCCGCATTAAATAAAACAATTGGTATGACCATTATCTTTTGAATAACAGTGTAGAAATTGTTGTTGAATTTAAATTTATATCTGTTTAAAACAACAATATTATCATTAGTATCTATGAAAAGCATTATCAGGAATTTTCATATTTAATTTTTTTCAGGTACTTTTCTGTTATCCCTACAACCGCTCGATGCCGCGACTACCACTTGAGRTTTTATTGATAATTTTGATGACTTTTTGTTCTACATTATAATAACTCTCTACTACTRTGATAATTTATGTGATTACTGATTATAAACGTTATACTAATATACATTATTACATAAATGGCAATTCATAATGTTTATTATGTATTAAAATACGGAACTATCTGGATAATACTATAGTAATACCTTGTAGTCGAAATAACAGAATTGAGTAGTCGCGGTAGTAGGGATAACAGAAAAATACCTTTTTTTATATTTATTACATACAATCTATAAATGAATTTTACAATAAGTATGTTTAAGAATTTACATTTATATTGGCATGGTTGACATGAAGTAATCACCCAGAGGCAACACTTACTGGCTAGAGAGGGTTAGAGTTATTTTAAGTAATGGTGCCTATTTTGCTTTAACCTTCTAGGTGGATTTCATGGGATAGATTCATAATTTAAAGCAAGAATTAGGGTGTCAGAGTGGCTTGTAAAAGGGGCATGAAATAGTTTAAAGGAATGTTTTCCTTCTCCTTGAACAGTATAAATTTTTAAGTCAGTATTTAAGGTGTGGTTTGAAACATACGGAGGAGCACCTGTAATCATTCGTAGTGAGATTGATTAGTATTTATAAATATTTGATTTTTCTGCTACTTCCCACAATTAGATTCTATATGGTTATATTTAATTTGGATAAATTGGCTTAAGGAGGGTTTTGTATTTAGGTTAATTTTTTATTGCCTTCCTATAAGTGGAAAGAGTGCTCTTTTTCTGGCATTTAATATAGGTCGTTTCTGCTTGATGTTCGGCCTAGGTAAGCCTTTTGTTGAGTGTCAGACCCAAATATTTAACATTAGAGGAAGAAGGGATGATTTTATTATTTAATTTACTTTTGTTTYTACTACAGGACACAATAGTTTACAATATCCATAATAATATTGATACTTATGTCTAACAAGTGTAACATATATTTTTTAAATTATTTTTTTTATACAAAATTAATAATACAATAATTAATCATAGGTACCTATGAAAAATCTTTTGTCTTATAAACATTTAAAATAAAAAAAATTTCAGTCATTTTTTAAATATTACGTTAAGCTTTTGTTAAAAATTACGAAAATGTGACCTTATATTATATTTATATTATTATAATAATATTAATAATGACATCTTACGAAATAATTTAAGCCMTAGCAGGTTACTACCTAAATTATGAAAATAATTACATGTTGTAGTGCGTGCAAGTACCGGATATAGATTTTCCAAAAAATGGACTCTGTACGAATCGTTTAAACGTATCTACCTATCTATTTTAGACGGTTTGGRGTAGATGGGGAAAAATGAGCGTAAATAAACGCATTGCGCAGTCTGCAGACGACGGGTGATGGCGAAAAGAGAATTGTATATTTTAACATATTATTATTATTAAATAGATATTAAATACTAAATGCAACCAGCGAGTGCCTTCAAATGAGACCACTCTTGTAATGGGATTTAGTGGTCTTGAGCTGTAAAATACGTTATACATTTACTTMTCTAATATATTCTTAATTCTTATGCATATAGGTAATAATAAATAGCAACAACGCGTATATGTACGAAATTAGTTTGCTCCAAAACGGCGGACGTGATTAATCTACGAGGGAGCTCGCGCCACTCGCGTGAAAACATTACAATACTTACTCTTTGGCTGTTCTCCAGAAATATGAAAGTCCGTGGAGATTTACAATGTAACACGCATAATTTCACGATAAAGCAACGTTAGATTTTGGCTTGAAAAAAGCGCAAGGCGATATGGTATTATGGTTTGTTTACGACCAAGACTRTTATTTTACTTTTAGTATTATTTCTATATATATATATAATTTTTTTTTTGTGATGCAAACATACTTACATATTTTATGAAATATAACCGCAGTTTTTTTTTTTTTTAAACTTATATAGTGCACATCACATCGTAGGTATTATAAATGTTCGATTTTGTACAATGTATATATTTAAATTCGTAGAAACGCGAGGACTATATAAGGATGACAAAAACATTTTGTGAGAACGGTATATTTTATCCTTTAGAAAATGAATGCGTCTTCACACCATTTCATAACCATAGGATTCTAACAAAAGTCAAATATTAAGGGTTTTCAGTGAATGCGTGTTTTTAGTACAAAACTTTGCCTTCCAGAAAAAAGTCTTCCACTTCGTAAAATAGTCAACTTTTGATAATAATATTTTTATTTGAAAGATAAACCTAGGTCGCATTACACTCCGATAAAACTAGATTTTCTGACGTTGTATAAAACTTCGGTATCTACATCACAAATCACGTATGATATTGGTATCTATTAGTAAACTGCAAGAAGCGTATTGTCGTTATTTTTATTTTTATTGTTATCAATTATTATTAGGTATTTTAAACGTAACTACCTACCTCGTCTTTCAAATACATAACTTAAATTTATTGCGAAAATCTTAAATTGATTCACATTGTATGACCTTGATTATTATTCACATTTAACGTGATTATAATATAAGACGTAAAATGACTTAGATATAATACCTACCTATAAAGTTACCTGGTATACCTTTTTTTCTTTAATAAAAATATTAAACTAATCTAATATAATAAATAATGTCTAATCTCTAATATTATGTTATGTAAGTTGGCTGAAATCATTTTAATTATTATATTACCTTAAATAATACACTATTGCATTATTATGGCGAGAATATCAAGTTAATAGGTAATAACTAATAAGTTGTGATACCATAATATGTATCATATACTCATTTATAGTTACTATGTATAATAATATTTAGATAATATACATTATAGCTAGGTAACAAAACGAAGTCAATATTGTAAAGTATAATTCCTCGGCCTAGTTAATATTTTTAATAAAAAGTACTAATGTAGGATAGGTTTTATATAAGATATACCTACTTTGTCAGTAATATGCTATTATTTTATTATTAGTATAAAAACAAAAAACCATTATTATAGTTAAATATAATAATATAATATATAATATTCTAATTCAACAATAAAAATGGTTTATTCAATAAACGAGTTAGGTAATTATTGTTTGCATAACATTATATTATGATCCAAATAGCAAGGTTACTAACTAGGTATATGATCGCTTCTATGTCAAAAATCACCAAYTTTATATTAATATTATTATTATAATTACATATGYCCAACAACAACAACAATAGCCTTAGAACAATTATTTATCAGTAGATTATTATGAATAATATTATGATAGTAATAAGAATACACAATGTTACATTTCGGATTTCACAATTATAATTAGGTAATCAATAGTACTTGTGATAGTTTGACGGCTATTGGTGGTAGTAGTCAACGTCTGCGTGCGACTGATGGTAATAATATTTATTGTTGTCTTTGGGAGCTTCAATTTTCTTGACCACAGCGTTGAACCCGTGTTCATGGTCGGCCGTGTATTCAACCACTCGGATGGAGCCATCCGGTTCCACCAGACTGTACGATCCCTTGACGTTACCGTGGCCGTCGCTCACTTCCTGTTGGCTCTTGATGTCGTGCGTGTGCAGGTCCTTCACGCCGTACTCGAAATGGTATGGAGCGGCGGGTGCAGGAGCGTAACCGCTGTGCTGGTACTGCAGATGACCTGCTGCACCGTCGTAGCCATTATAGTGGTCATCGTAGTAACTCTTGTACTCCAGTGGATAAGCAAATGCCATACTCGCGAACAGAGTGGCGACGGTGGCGAACACAGTGATCGGCTGAACAAAATAACGATAAACATTTCAATATCATAATATACAGTTTCGATAATACTCGATTGTTTGTCTTGCCTTTGAAATGTTTTTAAGCTGTGTTGTTTTAAAGGCATTTATATGAGCTCGAAAAATACTTAAGTTGAATTCATTTTTATTCCCTTGAGATTTGAGTTATCGAGACTTGACTAATTTTCGTATAGTAATATAATAATATACACGCATAACCTACCTACATTCCTAACTAATATCACTATCATCATAATAATATATTATTTTATTTATTTTAATATGTATTCAATATAATTGTTAGAGGAAATCAACTCTTTACTATTATAAAATATTATTTTAAAAATGTTAATAAGCACTACACCGTTTATAATCTATAAATGATAATATAAATATTATGAAAATTCCTTACAGCTATTTCCTTAAAATTGWTTACCGTCCCACGATTATATTCCTAATTTAGTACATTTATATGTTTGAATTCTCTAGCTGATCGTTGGCATGCGGCTTACTTAAATTKTATTAATAATTTAATAAATAGTWAAGTAGACTCTCCTGTTTTACCATCTCAAATTCATTTTTTTWAATTTCCTRTCGTCTCTCACGTTATCCTATTTTTATCCACATTACTCTATCTAATTTGGAACACTCTTTATATTTTATTTTATTATGATGAATAAGMTTCATATAAATTACTTAATACTTATCAAAACGCATATTATGATTATATTAATAAATTTTTTATTACTTTTAAATGCTTTATCGAGTTATTGTCAAAAATAAAGCAAAATAACATGCCTCTAATGAACATTTGAWATTTAGATGCAAATAAATTATTAATAAAGTAGAAGAACAATTTAATAATCTTACCTTAATAGTCATTTTGAAAATATTGAACTCTTGAAACATAGACGGGATGAATATAAATCTTTGTTTATAAAATAAACCAAAAAAAAATAAACACTGATGTATATTTAAAGTTAGCTTACAGTATTTATATACAATGCCATCACATCCCTCCCATTGGGTCTAATGGAGTTCACCTAGATTCCTGGACTAATATTATATAGCGCAATTACATCAGCTCATTAAAAAAAGTTACACAAAATAATCTTCTTTGATTACATTAGGTACCTATGTAGGTACCTAATGTTGCATAATGTATTAATTAATTATATATACTATGTTAAATTAGCATTGTTTTTGTTACGAAAAAAATGGTTTTTACAAATAACGATAGTACGACACATACAACTTATGTTGAGTTTAAAATATAGGACGTTTAATATTAAAAAGATAGAATATGTTAATACGTTTAATTATAATTTAATATCAATTTCATTTTTTGTGTTATGATTTTGCCAATCTTGGATAGTTGGATATTAAGTAGAAATAAATGGATTCAATGAAAGGTACAATTTTTGTAATTCAATATTTTTTCTAAATTTCATTATATTGATTTAAAACTAAGTACATGAKGCGTAGTTAGTCAATTTTCCGAATTTTCGATAGGTTTTCAATTAAGTTGATAGTGAAATACTAAATCTGTTCTTATATGAGCGAAATCGCACCATACAGTTACCAAAAACCTATACAGTTATGTTAACAGGACGTCAATACCACGAGCCCTCAAAAACATATTATACGGAATACATTATCATAATACGAATACGACCCGTGCTTTTCATGATATAGAGCCAATTGAATTGTTAACGGGCGATGATGGGTAAGTCGCTAGTGGGTATCTACGCTTTAATAGTGGTATTATATTTACCTTGAACTCAGCCACCCGTCGGACTATAATTATTTGGATCGGAGCTCCGAGCTAAACAATATAAACATAATAATAATTTTGGATATTTCAGAATATGTGCTACCAGATCCAGTTATCGTGAGCAATTATTGTTAGTTCACAGCAGGCGCCTACAGAACAATAATATAATTATATAATCATAYTGAAGTATCGCAATATCATATTTAAATRGATTAATTACGTAGGCTTGAYGTGTTTATGAATAGTTTTAACAATAAAAAATAATGGATTTATTACTTTCTTCAAATGTGGTGTTTAATTAAAAAGTAATAATAGTAAAAAAAAAAATGTATACTAGGTACTTATATAAATATGTAATATACACGTCTACCACTCTAAAGAATCCCAAAACTTGATTTGTTTAGAAAGTTATTATATTTTTTTTTTATATGATATAACCTACATTATTATATATAATGTATATATTATAATGATGTGAATAACAATGGAATAGATGAAAACTTGAACTACGCAGACTTGTTGAAAATATTTTAATAATATTTTTATGAGAAATCTAAAAGATAACGAAAGCATTTTTCTTCTTTGAAGTTATAATTTCTGAACAAAAGAAACTGATAATAATGTTCTTTATTCTGCTTTGCTACAGTTTAAAGTAGTAGGTAAGGCAACTGAGATTAAAAATCAAAAATATATTACAAAAAAGTCATTCTTTGTATTTACTAGGTCATCATTTTGGTCATTGTTTATACAACAAAATACCTACATCTAGTATTTACATTAATATTAAATTAATTGTAAATAGCAATATTTCATAAAATAAAAATATCTACTTAACCTGTTACACCAAATCAGCATAAAAAAAATTGTTCTTGTTATATTTGGTTGTCCGATAATATAATACGAATCAYGAGCAGGTTAGACTTATAATCTGTTATATTTATATAAAAACCAGCATTTAAGGTTTGGTGTAAAAATCTTAAAATAAAATTTCAAATTCATACTTGGTTTCCAAAAGCTCTAAAATGCCCTAGAAAATTAAGAAAATTACCTAAAAACTAAAAAATTCAAAATAAACTTTCTTATTCTCATTCATAAAAGTACATAAAACAAATTTGTGACCAGACGAGCATCGCACAGTAAGCTTTGGAAAACAATGCAAAGTGCATCGAAATCCCAGCCCAAGTCATCACATTAGTTTTTTATAAGCGTTTGAAATTCAAATTGTTAAAACTATATTCAACCGTAGAATAACTTGTTATAGATTCTACAACATGTTAATTTACGGTGTCTAGGGGTGGCTTCTAACCTAATTTTAGGAACCGCAAATTTATGAAGCTAATTTGAAGTGAGCCACATTGTTAAGACACATTTAGAAAATGAAGACACATTTTTTATTTTATAACAAATAAAGGAACATTAATTTTTTTCCACTCGCAGAATATTATTGACTATTGTTCAGGTAAACATTAAGGAAAGAGATCTTACTTTTGATAAGTGATTTTCATATTATATCAATTAACCTTATTCTAAGCTTGGTATCAAGAGCCAATTTAAATTGGTAATTCTTATAGGATACGAACTGTATTTATTTTTAAAAGACGAACTATTGTGTTTGTAGAAAAAAGTACAATAATTGTAATGTATATTCATTCATAAAAAAAAATGAAGGATACAAAAAACCAATCCCAGGGCCGCCAGTGGGCTTTTCTTGAATTTAACACTGGCTGAGGMAAATAGATGAGCTACATAAAGTTGGTTGGTAAAAGCGGGAAACATTAATTTAGCTTCATATAAATTATAAATGCATGAGAAAATTACAACTTTCATTAATAAAAGTCGATTGGCTTTCTACTATTATCCTCTTTGAGAATTAGTTCATATTAGATCATTATTTTGCATCATAGAAACACTATATTAAAAAATTTGACACGTCCACGTATAATACCTACTTTATGCTTTTGATATTTATCATTAATCAAGTATSTAATATATATTGYAATTTAATCAAAGTTAGTGTGGAATTGTTGAAACTCGAATTTAACTATATTAATTATATAAATGTAGTGTTTTAATTTTATGTCTATATCCAATAATATATTTTTTTTTAAGTGTCAGCATCTCGTTACCTACAACTGCACAATTCATTTATTATATTTAGTGATTTTAACAGCCACTGTGAAACCTGTAGGTCATACATATCTGACATATCCATAAAGATATATTCTTAAAGAATTTCTCACTCATGACAATTTGGCGCACGCCTCATCAACGGACATAAAACAGAACAAACTCTTTCAAATAACCACTCATCAGCCATTAATTTGTCCTTTAAAACACATCCCGTTCTACAAATTTGAATGCGAGTACTCAATCTAAAATATACGGCAGTACCTATCTTGTTTACTCCCTCTGTATGACATCTATTTAATTTATCCAAAACTCTGGCCAATTGGAATCCTCTTTTCTTCTATGATAGATATTAAAATGTCAAACCTTTCTATCCCATCRCATGGAAATGTGAAAATATTTGTCTCAGAATCACCGACCTTGTCACAATATCGCCTAAATCAAATCACTTTAGTGTTTCTWTAGTTTTCCAAGTAACCATGTCGTTAAATGGATTGAAGAAATCAAAAGATCCACCCACAAGAGAAATAAAGTTCAGACACTTATTACTCTCAAAATATACTTAATTTATTTTTAAAAAAAGAGTTGTAGTTGATTATTACGAACTACATTAATTACCCAAGAAATCAACCGTTCCTACTCTCAATATAATTTACCCTAAGGAGAAACTACCATCATCCTTACGACATAAAATTATAACAAAAGATTAAGAGACCTTCCTGGTGAAATTAGGTAACCTTAACTACGATGTATCATCATGAAATAATTMAAATTTTACATTATAATATACTATTAACATAATATACCTTAGTAATATTTTCAGATGAATCAATTAATGTGACCAGTTGTTGAATTCATTAACATATTCGTAAAATATTCTAGTCGTTGAAATACTCAATTAATAATATAGTTTGGCAGCTGCATCCGAATAGCATTAAAAAAAAMAATTTCTTAGGATTCTCTTAGAGAAATCTGTCCGAATTGCATGYCATGTACCCATAAGTTTATTTATCATGTACTTAAGTGCACAACTTAAACTTTAATTTTAATTTTTCTGTCAAAAATACGTGATTCAAATTAAAATAATATACGTGGGGAAATATTAAAAAAAAACAAAAGTGTTTAAGTTTTGATAACGGAATTTTAAAATAATAAAATTAAATATGTAGAAAAGTTGGATTACACGGCGTTATACAAGTTATACATCATTCCTATATAGGTAATGTAAATTATATATTTCATAAGCGTTAACTWAAGTTTATTATGCTGTAATAATAAAGAAGTAAAAAGCGTTAATGGCGGTAATAAATTGTATCTTGTATAATATTATGTATATTATGTGATTAGTAATTAACGATTCGCTCCTGTAGTCCCATCCTTGTTTTGAGTTTTTACCAAAATACTTAAATCTTATTCGAACTAAAGTATCAAACCTAGTCATTGGATAAAACYTCTGAAAAACATACTTTATTTCATGATGAAAAGTTTACCTACCTGAAAACGACATACTCACTTTTTTGAAATAAATTGAACTCCTCAATTCTTCAAACTAAGATTTTAAAATTTAAATAATGTTCAAGTGAAAAAATTAATTTAAAAATGTAAAAAAGTTTTTTTCGAACACATTTTTTGACAAATTCAAAAAAAATTTCAGAAATTTCATCGGATAAAATATAGGTTAGTTAATACGATTGAGGAAAGATAGATACTTTTGATAAAACAATTTATATTCTTGTAGTGCAGYATTGACACTTGGATGCACGTGGGATGTGGGAAGCACTTCGTTGTTTTTTTTACACACTCACACTAATGATCACACGCTAAGCGTTCCATAATCAGCAAGCGCATTTAAAATTGCCTACATTGAACTCCTTAAAAATTATCGGTGTCAAATCTRTTTAAGACATTGATTGGACACGCAATTTCATACCATTCTATGTTTTTTGGTCTTGCCAGTGCATGACTGCTAAAATATTTGTCATTGTAAATGTTGATTTAGGGTTTAAAATGAAACTTTTTCAATATCAACTTCAAAATTAATCTATTATGATATTTTTTGAATATTTCAATGAAAAT